CCCCACGGGCGGAGAGCAAAGGCCCGGGAGGAGGGCTAGCGGGGGCCGGCCCCGCACTCCCGGCCTCCCCACAGCTACGCTCCGCCCTAGGCGCGCTCCCTCCCGGGCTACTCGTGGCCCGCACCCTACCAGGTCCTGGGCGGTGCTCCCGCCTTCTATCTCAGGGTCGGCTCGGCTCCCCGGGCTTTTTGAGGTTTTCGCTGCGCAAGGCTGGACGTTGGACTCCACAGCCTCAGTGCCAGGGCCTCAGGCTCCAAGCCCATCTTTCCCTCTTACATCCCATTTTCACCCTGCTCTCTCCCAAAAGAGATTTAAGAACTCGGCCCCTTGCCCATATGGTGCCCCAAGTCCCGGCGAGACAGCCAGACCTATGTCCTCCCTCCAGCTGCCAGGAGCAGCAGCAACCCCAGGAGATGGGTGGGGGCTGAGTTAAGCAGGGGAAAGGTGGAGGCCCAGACGGCCAGATTTCTGGAGGGGCCACGGCGGAGGCCCCTCCCTTTGGGCAAAGGTACAATAATTAGGGCCAGCCAGCAAATGCTTTCCATCCTGGTTTTAATTGTGGCAGAAGAAACTGGGGAAGGAGAGAAGAAGGAAAAGAGAGGCCTACGGCAGCTCAGACTTTCAAAGGAAGGGGCAGCAGCTTTGAGGGGAGAACCTGGATTCTGTAAAAGACAGATTAGCAGGCTAAACAGGAGCTGTCTGCAGTCAGCTCAAACTTCACTCCCCTCTCCTCAGCCTGCCACCCAAGCTCCCTGGACTACGAACAAAAGCACAGCCAAGGAGCTCTTTTCTGCTGGTACACATGGATGGGCAAGTGGCCAGACTGGAAGAGGGTCCCTTCTGCCTAGTATCTGAACTCTCTCGACCAGGCACACTTCTGTCCTTCAAGATCCCAGCTGGGAGCATCCCTCACCCCGAGCAGCTGGTCCTCCAGCAGTTGCTAAGCATCGGAGTATGAAAAACACTAGTTTCTGGAAGCCTCTAGTTTCTTGAGACAGGTAAGGACAGAGCCTACTGGGGAGATGGTGCCAGCATCAATTTCTGCCTGGTCAGGTTGGTGCCTGGCCCGCACTGCCAGTGGTAGCCAGAAGGATGGGGTGTGGGGGGCGGTGGGCAAACCCAAGCCCCTCTTGGTCCAGGCAAGAAAGGGGCAGGTGGGAAGGGAAAAGGGGAAGCTGTGAAGCAACAAAGAGGGGGTGCCAATTAAATTGAGACCACTTGTACATGCGCAGGGTAGGTGGGGGCAGCAACTCCGGCACAAGAGATTCTGGCTTGTTTTATTGTCATTTAAAAACAACTTTTAAAATGCAATTATCTCTGCCAAAAAAAGGAAAAAAAAAAAAAAAGAAAGAAAGAAGGCAGAATCAAGGAAATGGGACCATTTGACAGTTCTGGGGAACATGTCTCTGGGACTCCCGGGCCCTGGGCCAGCTTGAGGTGCCGACCTCCGGCCAACACAAGCCTCCCAGGCACCCGAGGTGGCGCTGTGGCCTCCCTCTCAGGTTTCTTCCCGAACACTTGTGGCATTTGCCCCACGGAGAGGAAAAGGCAGCTGGACCATGTCACAGATTAAATGCCCACTTCATACTGGTGTATGTGGGGCAACTATAAAATGCCTGTTCAGAGCAAACCAAGACCTGAAGGGGGAAGCTGGAAGGGGCACCCACACAGTTTTCACTCTCATCCTAACCTCTCTGGCCAGCTGCCCCTTTGCCATTTCTTCTGTTGAAACAGCTTTTGGGGGACTGGGAGCAGAGGCCAGGGGAGTGGGGAGGGGGCTGAAGACCTCCACCACAGTCCAGGTTTTGTACAGCCTCTGGCTTCAGTGGGAACCCAAGTATCAGTGGGAGCAGCAGTGTGATGGGGCTGGAGGCCCCAGAGAGGAGGGAGGAGGGGCTGGGGGCTGCACGGCAGCTTCTCAGGCTGGGCCAGTGGAGGCAGCTCATCCTTCTCACAGGGTGAGCTTTGGGATGGGGACAGGGTGCTTCCCCTACTATCTCCCCAGCCCCTATTAACCTCTGATTCACCAAGAAGGGGAGGGCAGTCCAGCTGGGGGTGGGATGGGGAACACAGGGCCTCAGTCACTGTCAGACCCCACTGCAGAGGACCCTTTCCGTTTCCGCTTGGTGGGCTTCGGTTTTGTGTCTTCTTCTTCCTGGAAGAGATTGGTGGGGGAGAAAGCACTAGCCTGGGCAGCTGCTGCCCCAACTCTGCCCGCACCCCGCCCCCCTTTCCTCCTGTGCATGGCTTACACCGCCAGGGCTCTCACCGAGGCACTGCTGGAACCTGACTCTTCCTCAGCATTGGGAGGCTGGGTGGCATTCTTTCGACTTCGGGGGCTGGACAGAGCTGCTTTTCGCCGGCTCTTGGGCGGTTTCGTGGAAGAGTCCTCATATTCCTCGGCCAGGGAGAAGAGATCACTGAACCTAGGGAGAGAGCAAGCTCTCGGAGGGGAGCATCCCAGCCCCATGGCCGTCCTCCCATCCTCCACGGCCACCACGCTGGGGTCTCTTATTTGTCTTCAACCCCATGGTCTTGCTGGTCATTAAGTTTGTGTTGCCAGCACCCCCGGTTCCCCCAGGCCTTCTCCCACTACTTCCCAAGGCCAAAAGCGCAAGGAGCCTTACTTCATCTTGTGGGCTTCATCACAGCTCGCCTGGACGTGCTGTAGGGCCTGCAGAATTGGGGTCTGGCTAAAAACTAGAGGAAGGAAGGGAGAGCGGGGAAGGAGGAACAGTGAGGTGTCTGGGAGTTTGTTAAATGGTACCCAAGGGTTACTTTCTCCTGCCTCTATCCCACCCGTACCCACGGGTGGTCTGAGCCAGGGCAGCACCAAGCACGCTAGACTCGGAGGGGGCAGGAAAACATACAGTTCTGCTTGGTGTTGGTCAGGTTGAGACGCAGGTTGTCCAGGTGCTCTAGTATCTGCTCCAGAGTTAGCTGGGCCAGCTTGCTGCTGGAACTCCTCAGGCTGTGGGAAGTCACAGGAGCCAGAGTCTGAGCTCGCAGTGAGGGCTCTAGGAGGGCGAGATGCCCATCCCCACCAGGGTCCCTCCCTAAGACAGAGAAGGGGCTGGGAGGGGCCGGGCAGGGTGAAAGGAGGTGTGCCTAAACACGAGGGAGAGGGGAAGGGGCCGCAGTGGTCCTGCCTGCCAGGCAGCTTCACACCACTAGATGTCGCCCACAAGCCAGGCCGGGACCAACGGGACACCAAACGGGACCGCCCTGGGGCCTGGGGCGCCCGCGGGGCTGTGTCCCACCTCTGCCTCTTGCGCGGGAGGCTGTTGTTCTTGATGAGCAGGGACTTGACGTGCTCAGCCAGCAGCTCGTCGTGCTTCATGCACCAGTGCCGCAGGATGCTGGTGGTGAACTGGTCGTCGGGGTGGCAGGGCCGGCTCAGCACCATCTTAACCATCTCCTCACTGGGTCTGTGGGCGTGAAGGGGGGCACCCTTCTTGCACAGCTGGCCTCAGAACCGCTGGGACTCTCCCACCGACTCTCCCCCCAAACCCCAGCCCCCACACCCCTGCCCCACCCCAAACTCGCTGTAGCTTCCTACTCTCACATCTCTCTCCCTCTTCTCTTTGGGCCAAGGAATGCCTGGTTTCATCCTTTGCAGAAGCCAGGAGACAAGAAGTGAGACTCTTCAGTTTGTGTGGTGGTAGGTGTGTGTGTGTGCGTGCGCGCAGGTGTGCTGGGATGGAGGCCCACTGAATCCCCCACTTTGCCCAGAACAGTCAGGAAACAGGCCAGGGAGGCAAAAGAACAAGCATGTGGTGTGTGAATGTGCCGCTTCCCACCACTGACTACCCTACTAGAGCTGTAAGCCACCCTGGTATCTAGCCCAAGGGAGGTATAGAGGAAGGGGCTGGGAGGCCCCCCAAGGCCCCCCAGCCTTCGCACTTCCTTTCGGACACGCTGTACCATTTCTAGTGCCTCAGGCAAGAGAGGAGAAAAGGTGGAAGGAAGGCAAGAAGGTAGGAAGGAAAAGATACACAGCTGTTACCCCGTTTATCTGGGGCTGCTGGAAAACTGCTGCTGATGGAGGGAGGGGCCTCTGCCTTCTCTCCCTCTACGCTCCGCCCCTGGTAGGGCGCACAGGGGTCCAGCCGGCTCTGCTCTCTGCAGGTTGAGGGAGGGGATGGTGTGTGACCCTTCTACCCTGACCCTTCCTCCTCTCGGAGTAGCCATGTGGTGGCCTCAGGAGCGTGGGGGAGGGGAGCAGGAGTCACCAGGGATTAGAATTGCTGTGGCAGCAGGAAACAGGGATGTCCGGTCCCCACCTCTGAGGGCAGCTCCTGGTGGGCAGGGGGGTAAAGTCGAGAGGAAGCCCAGATCCCAGGGGAGCTGCTTATTTGTAAATCTCTTTGAGGGAAGGGCAGAAGAAGCAGATGTCAACAATAGGAAAAAACATGGCCAGAGGAGCAGCACAGAAGCCCTTTATACCATACGGCAGGATCTCTTGGTGTGTTGGGATTGAGGACTAAAGAACCTGGAGGGTGGAACTCACTTCTCTCTTCGGAGTTGAAGCAGTAGGCAGGACAGGGCCTCTGGGTGCTCTGTGGGGGAGGGGAGAGGCTGTTCAGAGGAATTCGAAATTCCAGGAAGAAATCCTGGCACCTCTGCCATCCCCCAGCCAACAGCCACTGGAAGGAGCAAGGATAATCTTCAACAAGAAACCAGGAAAAGCAATTTCCTCCCCTACTCCTATGAGGTCCCAAGCCACCAGCGCCTGGCCTGGAACTGGCCCGAAGGGCTCAGCTACAGAGGATAGGTGACTGACAGGAGCCTGCCTCTCCAAACTTGGCACTTTGGTGGGGAAGGGCGCGGTGGACCTGGGCTCATCTAGAAAGAAGCCCAGAGGCCCAAGGCCTGCCGCAGCCAGACTGCGAGTGTCCTCTCCCCCGCGTTCCCTGCCCACAACCCTACTCACCCTTGTACTTGAGGTGCTGCAGGATGGGGATGATGGTCTCCAGGGGGATGTTGTGGGCCAGGAAGAGCTGCCAGGCGCAGTACTGCTCGAAGGTCTCCCAGTCCAGGCTCTGGACTGAAGAGACACATTCATTCATATTCATACTCCCATTCCCTCTCTGTCTCTCTCTCTCTCTCACACACACACACACACACACACACACACAATCCACTAACACCAGCGCCCCAAGCAGGGGTGGTACAGGGCTGGCGACAGCGATCCTAAGTCTACAGATACTTTCCCTTTCCACACAAAGCATATTTCCAAAGGCTTTCTGTAGTTTCTGTATTCCCATCAGCCCCAAGGCCGGAGGGCCAGGAGGAAGTCTTTGCAACTTACAGAGCAAGAAATAGATCCAGAGAGACACTGCCCAGGACCACACAGCAGGGCAGA